AAAAAAAAAAAAAAAAGGAACCCACAGGCTAATGAAGGAGACAGTCATCCACCAAAGAACCGTGCAACTGTGGGAAGATGAACTGAAAAAGCATTCCACAATACCCACCGTGGGGCCTGGCCCTCTGCCTTGGTTTCCTTATCTACAAAATGAGACAATAATACCCTGAGTTGTTGTGAGGACTAGCTGGGATAACTTGTGTGGACATGATTTAGGGGCTGCCATTTGGTGTAAAGTTTGGTGCCGGGGGCTGGGCCTCTGGCCAGTGTCTCGACACAGATTTCAGGACATTACTCAGTTCCTGAATGTGGCCCCCAAGCACCAGCCTCTCCCTTTGCTCACGTGAGTCTTCCACTTGTGTGTACTTTCTGCCTTCTGCTATGTGTTGGGCATGCCGTGTGCTGGGTACCATGCTAGACACTTTTTCTGAACAATTTTCATCAAGGCCTAATGAGATTGTGATTATACCCATTTTATGGGTGAGGAAACAGCCCCTGAGAGAAGGAGGGATGTCCTCAAGGTTGCACGGGGCCCCGTGGGCTCTGCAGAATGCCTATGGAAAGCCATCAGCCTAGGTGACCGCTAGGGACTAGAGTCCTCCAGAATGCAGGGGTCTGTGCTCCAGATGGCCCGGTGAGGGGTGGGGAGGGCTTCTGACCACAGAGGCACAGCTGGGCCTCAGCTATCTGGTTGCTCATGAGGGTATCTTAGGATAGTACATTGTTCTGGAACACCCCTCACCTTCCCTGAGGGCAGACATGGGAGTGTTCCAGGACTGAGACATCACAGCCCTGAGGCCAGAACAGTCCATCAGCTGCCCTTCCTCCTGGGCATGTTGTGTGATGTGCCAGTGGCTTCTCAGTGTGGAGATGGGACATTGGCTGCTAAGGGCTGCTGCGGAGCCCTGTCCTGCTCCAGGGCTGGGTGGGAGGCCCCCTCCTTCAGGAAGTCTCCTGCCCCCCATGGCCTTGCCCCCGACACTGGGGACCATGTTCACACATGTTGTTGCTGCCACCCTTGATAGTGTGGAAAGGGGAGACAGTTTCAGAGAGTGCCTTGGAGCTCAGCGTGTTCCTGTTGTAAAGGAGAGGAAACTGAGGCTCAGAGAGGGACAGCTTGCCTGAGTTCACCCACCCTTCCTTGGCAGAGATGTGGCTGAGACCCTGAAGCCGCATCCCCCTCTAAGTCTCAGTTTCTCCATCTGTGACATCGGGATAATAACGGTACCCAGCTAATGAGGTTGTTTATAACCATTAATAAGATTGGGTAACCGTAGAACACTGTGAAGAAGTTAAATAGAATAAAGTAGCGGGGCACCTGGGTGGCTCAGCCTGTTAAGTGTCCGACTTTGGCTCAGGTTATGATCTCACGGTTTGTGGGTTCGAGCCTACTTCGAATTCTACTACTGTCTCCTTCTCTGTCTGCCCCTCCCCCGCTTGTGCTTTTTCTCTCTCTCTTTCTCTCTCTCAAAAATAAATAAATAAATATTTAAAAAAGGAATAAACTCGTAGTGCAATTCCCAAACAAATTAAATATGCAGTTATTATATGAACCCACAATTCCACTTTGGGATATATACCCAAAAGAATTAAAAGCAGGGACACAAACAGATACTTGTACCCCTGTGTTCCTAGCAGAGCATTATTTACAATAGAAGCAACCCTAATGTCCATCAATGTATGTACATAGAGTGGACTATTGGTAAAGCTTTGTAAAGGAAGGAAATTCTGACACATGCTCCACCCTGGATGAACCTTGAAGACCTGATGCGAAGTGAAATGAGCCAGCCACCAATGGACCAGTATTATGATTCCACTTATAGGACCTACTTAGGGTAGTCAAATTCATAGAGACAGAAAGCAGGATAGAGGTTACCGGGAGCTGGAGAGAGGAGGGAGCGAGGAATTGGTGTTCAGTGGGTACAGACTTTCAGTTTAGGATAATGGAAAAGTTCTAGAGATGAATAGCGGTTGCTTGACAAAGTGAATGCACTTAATGCCACTGAAATGAGTACTCAAAAATGACCAAAAATGGTAAATTTCATATTGTGTATACTTTAGGACAATTAAAAAGAATAAGGTAGAGCTGTATGTACTGATGTTGAAAGATCTCTAAGGTATGTAGTTAAAAAAGAAGGGGAGAGAGCTATATATATTACACAATCCCGCTAATTATTTTGATAACAGAACAGACTGGTATTGGAGCATGTATGTGTGTGTGTAAACCCATAGCAAAAGTCTGGAGGAAAATCCGCTGACTGAGGAAGGAGAGATGGTAGGAATAGCATGGGGAAATGACTTTGCTTTGTATTCTTTTAATGCTGTAGTAAGGTGAGTTTTAGGGAGGGGGGTTATTTGTTACATTTTAAATGTAGTCAAGCAGGTAAAGAGCCCTATGTGGTGCTGGGCACACAGTAGGTGCTCAAGACACATTGGTTCGCTTCCCCTTTGAAGACGTGTCAGGCCTGCTGGTGCTCCCCGGCATGCCCCTTGGGGTCTCAGGATCTGGGCAAGGGGGCGTGGCCCTGTGTTTGTTTGCCGAGTACCTTCTCCCCACCCCTTCCAGACGTGGTTTCCATGGAGATAAGTGTCCCTGAGCAATTCTGCCAGAGCTGCTGGAGTCCCGTCATCCAGATCTGCCTTTGCCATCCTGACAGGTTGCTGTGGCGATACTGTCACCCAGCTGGGAACAGGAGCCCCTGGCCTGAGCTGATGTGGTTGCCATGGAGATGGCTCTTCCTTATAGAGAAGGGAGGGTGGCCAGCCCTAGCTGCACTCTGTGGTGGCACTGTTGCCCAGCTGGGTTGCAGCTCAAGAATCGTAACACCAGCCTCCCCCTCATCCAGTACCATTCCCCCTTCTTGTATTTTAGGCAGAAAGCCAATCTCAGTGTTGACGTGATGTATTATAATATAGCTGCTGTGTCTGAATGCTTGCTCCGTACCAGGCACCTCACCAGGCATTTTATATACCTCCTCATGTTGTGAAACCAGCAGCTTCCCAACATACATTGTTATTCTCATTTTATAGGTGGTACTCTTCTTGACAGTATTTTCATTGTGATATCACAATTCACATAATATGAAAGTTACCATTTATAGTGTCAAGTTCAGGGATGCCTGGGTGGCTCAGTCGGTTAAGCATCCAACTTCAGCTCAGGTCATGATCTCACAGTTCATGAGTTCGAGCCCTGTGTGGGGCTCAGAGCCTGGAGCCTGCTTCAGATTCTCTTTCTCTCTGCCCCTCCCCCCCCCACTCTCTCTCTCTCACTCTCTCTCTCTCTCTCTCACTCAAAAATAAATGGACATTTAAAAAAAAAATCTAAACATAAAGTGTCAAATTCACTGGTTTTTAATGTATTCATAATGTTGTACAATCATCACCGTTATCTAAATCTAGAATATTTCCATTGCCTCTAAAAGAAACCCGTACCTGTTAGCAGTCACTCCCCATTCCCCCTTCCCTCCAGCCCCTGGCAACCACTAATCCACACTCTGTCTCCACGGATTTGCCTATTCTGGCCATTTCGTACAAATGGAATCATGCAATTTGTGATCTTTTGTGATTGGCTTCTTTCACGTAGCATAATGTTTTCAAGGTTTATCCATGTCAGAGCATGTATCAGTACTTTATTCGTTTTTATGGTCAAATAATAATCCGTTGTATGAGTATACATTTTGTCCACTCATCAGGTGATGGACATTTGGGTTGTTTCCACCTTTTGACTAGTATGAGTAATGCTGCTATGAACATTTGCATACAGGTTTTGTGAGTTTTCAGTTCTCTTGGGTATATACCAAGGAGTGGACTGCTGCATACAGGTGGTATTGGGGAAAGACAAAGATGGGATTCTAACCCAGGACTTTGTCTCCCAAAGTCACACCGACTCTTACGGTGCTGCCCGGCCCTCCTCGCCCTATCTAGGTACCTTCCTAGGACCCTGCTGTGTTTTCAGAACCTCCGAAGACGCCGCTCCCTTCAGTGAATGAGTACTTCCGTCCCTGGCACAGGCTTCTCATCCTGATTCCCATTCTGATGGGGTACGCAGGGTGCTGATCATGGCATCAGATCACCTGGGTTCAAATCCTGGTTCTGCTGGCGTCATCCTCTGATGCAGCCTGGCCGTGGTCTGTGTGGTGCAGGGCACACTGAAATTTGGGGTCACACGGGCCTGAGTTTGAAAGCTGGCTTTGCCACTTACTTGGAAATAACTGTAATGCTGGGCAAATCACGCAACTGCTCCAGGCTCAGTTTGTTCACTTATAAAACGGGAATATTAATCCCTGCTTCTCAGAGACAGGCAGGTAAAGTGCTTAGCAGGGAGGAAGGACTTGGTGAACACTGATTAGCATCATCATTATCATCATTACCCTTAGCTGCTATGTATGATGGCTGTGCGTCGGGAGCAGCATTTACCTTAAATAAATGTTTCTGCTGCCCCTACCCAGGTGCTGTCTATCGAACTGCCACTTGTCCATGGAAGTAGCAGTTACATTGCAAATCAACACATGCGCTTGGCAGTGTGTGTCCCAGTGACTTCTGATTTGGGTTTTATGTCTAAATCAGTCTTTGCTTCCTCCCCCCAGATGGTCTTCCCTAACCAGGAGCCATTCGGCCTCTGTCTAGCCACTTCAGCTGCTCTGGAGGAAGAATGCCTCGGTCTTTGAGATGCACCCAGAGTAAATTTTGCACACACAGCACAGTCTGCGTTTTCAGTGAGACCCTTTCAAAGATCCCCTCCGTATTTGGTGAAAATCTGCCCAGTTGTTTTGGCAGAAGGTTCATTTTATTCCCTGAAGGTTGGTCTTTGTTTCCTGGCAGCACGGAAGCAGGGAAGGTGTTAGAGAGCAGGGGGCCCCTCCAAGCTGTGCTCAGGCAGCCTCTCTGTGCGGGCTGGAAGTGCAGGGACACAATCTACTAGTCTTTGGAGAAGGACAAGGGAGGACATAGCTCATGCTCCTACCAGGAGCCATTAAACCAAGGATGTTTAGAGGTGCCACCCTGGCTGCTCAAAGGTGGCCTTGTGAGTTGCTGGTAGATGGGGAAGCCCCCGATGTGTGCCAGGCCAAAGAATGTGCCCGCGGGGTCCGTCGCTTAGCGACGGCATTCCTGTTGGTGCCTGGGACTGTCCTGTCTTGCCCCTTCCTTCCCACTCTCCTGAGGCCCGGGGCCAGAACATCTGCTCCTGGGGGCTCCACAAAGAGTCTCTGACAGGCCCTGGCTCCCTTGAGGGGCACTGCAGCCCCCCAGGCCGCCTGGCCAGCTGCTGCTTTGCAGAGAGGAGGAGGTCTTTGGGCTCTGTGAGCTTGCCTTGTTGTTCCCTCCAGAGCCGAAGAGTAGTGTGGGAGCCCAAGTGGCTTAGACAAGGTGGGGAGGAAAGGGTCTGTTCCAACCAGAAAAGGCTGGAATTACTCCTGTCCTGAAAGGGTTTGCTGCTTTGCTCTCTCTTCTCTGCCCACTGCCCTCCCTTTCTGGTGAAGTTCATGCCACTCAGGGCTTTCTCTCTGCCTGTTGGAAAGGTGCCCAGTGACTTTTCTTGGGAAAGCATATTAAAAATATCTTAACGTGATTTCCCCCCTCTACCCGACAGGTTATATGCGCTTGGTAGAGAAAGACTAGAAAATACAAATAAGTCCTAATAAGAAAAAATTCACCTGAAAACCAATATTCAGAGGGAATTTCTCTGAATAATTACCAAACTATTATTTGGGTGAGAGGGGCATATACTTCCAATCCATTTTTTCTATTTATATGTGCACACACATATTGAAATGTATATATGTATATGTATGCATTTTCTTCCCCTAACATAAGCTCAGTGAAGCAAAAATATCATTACAAAAGCCCATAAATGCATACCTAGCATCCCTCTAAGGGTGGGTACATCAGACTGATTGTATTGGTTGTCTTGGGCAGTAAAACTGGTGACTTGGGTTCACTGTATTCCTTTTTGTGATTTTTTTTTTGGGGGGGGGAAGTATAGTCGACACACAACGTGACATTGGTTTCGGATGTGCAACGTAGTGTGATTCAACAAGTCTGTAGTTATGCTGTGCTCACCACAAGCATAGCTACCAGCTGTTACCATGCAATCCTGTTACAATACCACTGACGATATTCCCTGTGCTGGAGCCTGCATCCGCACAACCTATACATTCCATAATTGGAAGCCCATGTCTCCACTCCCCTTCACCCCCTTTTGTGCCCCACCCCGTTTTGGTGGTTTGTGAAGTTTGGACTATGTGAATGTGTTATCCACAAAATAATAGAAATAATGAAAATCCTACATAAAATCGAAGAAGGAAGCTTCCTCTCTTAACCACCTCCCTCAATTCTACTCCCGACTCAGCTTAACCCATGGTTAGCAGGTTGGTTTGTATCTTTTTAGACCTTTCTCCATGCTCATACAATGTGTGTTTCTCTGTGTATTTTTAGAAAGTCAAGATGGGATTATATTGTGTACATGGTTTCTGTAACATGCAGATTATGTAGTATGAACACAGACTTTTTTAAAATGCTGGATGTTTTGGGTTTTCTTCTGCCTAAGGTGCTTATTATAAAAATCAAAGATCACAGAGTCAAGTAAACATAGGAAGGAAAGAAAGTCTAAAAGGGTACCATCTATTTCAGTATTTAAAACACAGAGCCGAAGGTCTAGAAGGAGCTCCAGCTGGCTGTCAGCCTGTGGTCACCCTCAGGTTGGGAAGGAGAATGCCTAGGGGGGGCTTCTGATTTGTCAGCATTGTATAGATTAACAGTGAGAATTTATTTTTGTATATTAAAATTTTATTTTAAAAAATATTTTGTAATGAAAAAAAAATTTTTAAAGAAAAAAACTGGAAGATTGTGTCCCCTGCCTCCTAAAAAAATGTGGGGGAAGAGGGCCAAGTGTAAGTTCACTGTATTCTCATTGTAAATAGCCTGGTATAAATTCTTCAGACCTTCTCCCACCCTGTGTGCATATATGTGCGTGTGCACGCACACACACACACACACACACCTTTTATAACAATGGTAACATGCTCTAGGTTTTTTTTTTTAATAACAGCTTTTTTGAGATATAATTTACATACGATAAAGTTTGTCTTTTTAAAGTATACAGTTCAGTGGTTTTTTAGGATATTCAGAGTTGTAAAACCTTCACCACTTTCTCATTCCAGGACATTTTCATCGCCCCAACAAGAAACCCCAAGCCCATCAGCAGTCACTCCTGCCTCTCCCAGCCCCTGGCAACCACTAATCTACTTGTGGATTTGCCTATTACGGACATTTTATGTAAATAGTATCATACATTGTGTGGCCTTTCGTGACTGGCTTTTCACTTTAGCATGATGTTCTCAAGACACGTGCATGTTGTAGCAAATATCAGCACTTTGTTTTTTTTTTTTTCAATGGCTGAATGATATTCCCTTGTGTGGATATGCCACATTTGTTTATCCATGTACCAGTTGGTGGACATTTGGGTTGTGGGTTTTGTTTCGCGAGTTCCTTCTTTTTCTTACCAAGATGTTTCGGAGACTTTGCCTCGTCGTCAGGAAATCTCACTCCCCTCTGTCCTTTCTCATGGCTTTAGGCTTTATATGATCTCATTCCTTCATACGTGGTGGCCCCCTCCCCCTCCTGTCACCCCACTTCCTCTCTCCAGGGTGTCTGCTGTGCTTGAAGAGGCTGTGGTTACCCTAAGAGGCTCAGTTTTATAGGGAGAGAAAGGTGTTTGCCCAGGATCGCAAACTCAGTGTTGTGGGGTTGCCACAGTTTCGCTCCCAGCTGAGGCCACGGCCTCTCCCACTCAGCTTGTGATAAGCAGACCTGGATCTGCAAGCCTGACCATCTTTCCCCAGAGCCCCCACCTCACCACTCACTCCGTGCCTGGGTATCCTTCTGAGCACCCCCCCCTTCCTGGCGCCATTTGTGGGAGGGGCTCTTTGTGGGGGGACCTGTTTTGTGGTATCGCCCATTTCCTACCTTGTCCTCCTCGCTTTTGAAAGAGCCCAGATTAGCCCTTCTCAAATACTGGCTGTTTGCTTTTGGCACCCTGCGTCTGAAATATCAGCCTCTGTCTTCCTGCCTCATTTGCATTTCAAAAGGTGCCTTTAGGATTTGATTGGGCTCCAAGATATACTTAAGACCCCAGCTGGAGTTCATTTCCCTGGCTCTCTGGTTTTAGCCTGGGCTTCGAGATAGAATCACCTGGGAAGCTATTTAAAAATCTCATGGCTGGGACCTACCCTGGACCGATTAATATCAGAATCTCTGGGACCTTGGGCATCGGTATTTTTTTTTAACTTCCCCCAGGTAATTCTGATGTGCACCCAGGTTGAGAACCACTGTGCTACCTCCACTTTGCCCTCATCAAAGAAGGCACATTTTCTCCTTCCAAGTCTGAAACTAGATCAAAACCTCTGTCAAGAACTGGTCCCGGGTCAGCTATGGATTTGCTGTGGGGCCTCTCTCTCACCTTCAGTGAGATGGGGGCTTCGGGGGCTTGGATTACGTCAGTGGTTCTCACCTTCAGGGATGGGTATGAGAGATGGGGGCATGGGGGAGTCATGTATTCAAACACCTGGGAGTGGGGTGCCTGTGTGACTCAGTTGATTAAGTGTCCGACTCAGGTCATGATGTTGCAGTGCTTGAGTTTGAGCCCCGCGT